AAAAGAATTATATTCCTTTGTATATTTCAAAGTCAACATTTTGAGTAAGGATTAGTTTAGTAATGGTAATTTCTGTTAACTGTTAAATTACTGTCTTTAATAAAATTAACCATTCTGTCTCATCTTTGTTGTTCTTTCAAGTTTAAAATTGTAACAAACTCTTAAAGAATTTCACCCCATCAATCTGAAAGCTAAACATGTACACTGCCACTCAAGACTCCTAATGATCTAGAAAGAGGCAAGAGCAACTCTAATTTACAAATATCTCCAGGAAGGTCTTACTACATTGGTACTGAACTGCTGATTCCACATGGAAAATTTGCCTTAGTGTGGAGAGGAATGAAAAAAATAATATAAGTTAGGTAATAATAAATGTTAGGTAATAAATATTAATCAGTTTGGAGCTATATAATTGATAGCTATATAAATGTTATTTTTATTAATGTTCCTAATAATTGTAAGTATGACTTGCCTAACATTAGATTCAGGCTACTTTCAGTAATTTTAAGGAAATATTAATAGATCAAAAAGGGAGGAAGAAAGGAAGAGCAGTAACATGACATTTTGCAGAAACTTTTAAATATCAGATTTTAAAAGTTTTACTTACAATTTTGATTATCTGTACCTTCTGTCCAATCAACACTTTCCAAAAGCATTTTCTCATCCTCAGAAGAAATTATTTCTTCTATTACCATGAGGCCTGGTGGTAAGGCTTGAGGCTCCAACTCTTTCCATTGTGCTGTGGGAAAACAAATTAAAATAGTCACATACAAAACTTAAAGTTCCTATATACAAATAATTCTACTCAAGAGCTATTTATCAATTCACAAAACTCCCAATGCTCATTTTCAGAAATAAGAACACTGAAAGTCACACAATATATTAAAAGTGCAGAAACAAAGACCAAGATCAAAATTATGGGTACATTTTACCCACTGCAATTACCAACAGCAAATAGAACATTCATAGTTCAAATAATTTGGATTTAGTTTCCTAAATATGTTTTTTTAAAAAAAATTAAAAATACCTCTCATATTTGTTACTCAGTGGCTATCAGGTAGTGGATATAAAAACAAGTATCAAAATTATTTCTAACTCAGTTCTGTTCTCAATTAAAAATGATTTCCAATTAGATACATGATTGCTACAGTCTTAGAAGTACACCTGGATCTAATGAAGGATTTCAAACACAGGACACTCCAAAACTCACTTTGTGCAATTCTTACTGAGTGTTCTCAGTACTGAATGGGGGAAAACCCAATGATAGCATTTCCTGATTAAAACTTACTCCTTAGCCACTCAGTTTTCAAAAACTGATCAGAAACACATATGAGGATAATCTAGTTTCTAAACTATGTTAAGTTTAAATCAAATTTAAAATTAAATACATATGGACACTGAGAAGTATAATTTCTTTCTTCTAAAATATATCTTTAAAAGAGTCTAAAAGCTTTTCTTTGAGTCTTGTTTTACAAAAAGATAAATCTGATCAGATTACACTCACCTACCCATCCCCAGGATATCTAAACTAAGCTCCTTTATTGCCTAAATAATTTAATTATTCAGTTCCTCAATCACACTATCCAGTGGCTAGCATATTGGATAGCACAGACGTGAACACTTCCATCACCACAGAAAGTTCTATTGGACAGCACCACCATGAAGTTTTAGGAACCTGGTGGCTAAAGGTGCTCCTCCAAAAACATGAAGATTGGCATACAACCATTTTGATCACAATGAATTATTAAGTGATTAATTCAAAGCTTCTGGGTAGACACTAGGAAGTAAATTGGTGATCTGAATCCTCAATATTAAACTTTGAAAAGCACACATAAGTAGGAGAGTTCCAAAATAAGCAACATGCATAATAAATATATTGCTGATTAGTGGAACCAGCTTCCCTTAAAGGCAGGATATGTCTTATTCACCTCTGTACCTTCAACTACTAGTCCCACACGCAAACTATTTAATAGGTGTTTAAAGAATATTTGTTAAAGTAAAATGGGCCATTAACCTGCTGTCCTCATTTTCTTTCACAATAACTAACCCCCCCAACTTATGTCTATGAAAACAAAACTCATACAAAAGCAAGAACCACTTTTTAAAATACAACTGTATGTTAATACCTTTTTCCACAAAATTCAAATACAGAATGATCTTCTGTCCTAAATCATCTACTATTTCTTTTCCATTGAGAGTAACATAGGCTTTCTTGGATTCTTCTGTAGTTTTGTATCGTGCAAATGAGTAGGGTTTGTTGGGTGGCATCAGGAGAGCATCCACCGGTCCAAATTTCTCTAAAACCGGGAGCAGCTGTTTCCTACTCACACCATTTCCCAAACCACCATTGGCAACAACCAGGTTCTTAAAAGACAAAAGAAAGGAAGTAACATGAGCAATTGATATCAATCTCTTTAAAATAAGATTATTTTTAAATAAAATTTCTACGAAGATGTAATTAAGGGAAAAAAAGGTTTCATGGTAGTGGTTATTTGGTTTGTTAATTTTATACAAAGTATATAAACCAATTTACTAAATATTTGGGGAATAAAAAGTGCTCCTATGTTGCAAATAATATTGATTTTTAAATAACCTATTTAAGCAAAACATTCATTTCTTTTTTTTCTTTTTTTTTTTTTTGAGACAGAGTCTCACTCTTTTGCCCGGGCTAGAGTGAGTGCCGTGGCATCAGCCTAGCTCACAGCAACCTCAAACTCCTGGGCTCAAGTGATCCCTCTGCCTCAGCCTCCCGAGTAGCTGGGACTACAGGCATGTACCACCATGCCCGGCTAATTTTTTCTATATATTTTTAGTTGGCCGATTAATTTCTTTCTAATTTTAGTAGAGGCGGGGTCTCGCTCTTGCTCAGGCTGGTCTCGAACTCCTGAGCTCAAACAATCCGCCCGCCTTGGCCTCCCAGCATGCTAGGATTACAGGCGTGAGCCACCGCGCCCAGCCAAAACATTCATTTCTTAATCACCATAAACACAAATTAAAAGAGGACACTATTACTCAGACATAAAAATTTTACATAACGAAAGGAAAAGAGGAGAATAAACAAGCAGTTACATAACATTTGCTTTTTGTCAGAGACTGTTCTATATGCTTTTACCTGATTAATCCTCATTAACATAATCTTCACAAGAGAGTGAATTTATTTGGGTAATATTAACCCCACTTTACAGAGGAAGAACTGAAGATCAGACAAGTTAGGTTAAGGCAGTGATTAGAGGTGGGTTTCAAACATATTTGTCTGTTTCCAGAATCTACACTTTTAATATAACCATTATACAATGTTTACTAAAAACAAAAAATAAAAGTACTGGCTCAAAGAAAAATCAATTTTAAGTTCTACTGAACATAAATTAGGAAGATTTTCCTCTAGGTAAATTCAGTCTAATTAATTTGGTCAGTTTATAATTAAAGTTTAGTCCTGCACTATTTTATTTTGATGTTTACAGCCTAGCACCCATACAGTCTCTATACTTAAAAACCATTCTATGTGGTGTTAAGATCTTTAATTTATGATCTATAAATTAAAACACTGTAGTATAGGCTGGGTGCGGTGGCTCACGCCTGTAATCCTAGCTCTCTGGGAGGCCGAGGCGGGCCGATCGTTTGAGCTCAGGAGTTCGAGACCAGCCTGAGCAAGAGCGAGACCCCGTGTCTACTAAAAATGAAAAGAAATTAACTGGACAACTAAAAATATACAGAAAAAAATTAGCCAGGCATGGTGGTGCATGCCTGTAGTCGCAGCTACTCAGGAGGCTGAGGCAGAAGGATTGCTTGAGCCCAGGAGTTTGAGGTTGCTGTGAGCTAGGATGACGCCACGGCACGCTAGCCCGGGCAACAC